GAGATCTGTTCTTAATAAAAGATTTAAATATTGGACAAAATAAAATTATTATATTTGCAACAAAAACCAATCTACAATGCTTATCCTGGACCCCTTACTGGATCATGGATGATATCTTTAAAATGGTTTCTACTATTTTTAAACAAATTTATACTATCCATGCACCCGTTGGCACAAATAATAATTCTCAAGTTTTTCCACTAGTATATGCTTTGATGAGTGGAAAATCAGAAGAACTTTATACTCATCTATTTCAAACTTTGATTGATTTTGCAGAGGATAACGATTTTCAACTTGAATCACAAACTATCATCACGGATTTTGAGCAAGCAGCAATTTGTGCATCATCTAATGTATTTCCAGGTTAAATATTCTAAATTTTTTAAATATTAGTTTAATCTTCATATAATAATTTGCAAATACTATAAATTTTTAAATAGCAAGTATAAATTTTCAACTTGAATTAAAATTAAATTTTGAAATAATATTTATACTTGCTATTTTAAAAATTTACAGCTCTATAAAAGAAATAATAACTAAATCTGTTTTTATTATTTAGGCATTATAAATAAAGGATGTTTTTTTCATCTTGGAAAAAATTTATAGAAAAAAATACAAGAAGCAAAATTAGTAACCAAATATGGAACTGATCTAGATTTAAGTGAAAAATTACGATGTTTACTTGCCTTGGCTTTTCTTCCACCTGAAGAAATTCCTGCTACATTCAATATTTTTAAAAAAAAAATACCACCAATTGCTCATAAAGTTGCAGAATGGTTTGAAAACACTTATACTCTTGGAAAAGTTTGAAAAGAGTTAAGCAATGGTGATATCTCTTGTAATCAACCTCTTTATCCACCAGAATTGTGGTCAATTTATAGCTCTGTTGAATCTGGATTTCTGCATACTCAAAATAAAGAGAGGGATGGCATAACCGTTGAAATAAACTAGTTAGTGGTAATCATTTAGGTGCTTATTCAATTATTGAAGAGATGCAAAAAGAACAACAAAGAGTTGATTGTCAAGTTGAAAGAATTCTTAATGGAGAACAAAGACCTACACCTAAAAAAAAGCAATTGACCGTGAGAAACGAATTATAAGTGTTTTAAATGATCGACCTTATCATACAACAATGGATTTCCTTAAAGGAATTGCAACTAATCTTTCTATTTAAAGTTAAATATAGAATATTGATTGCATAATTTTGTAATTTTGCTTAAATATTCAAATCGTATAATATTGTAATTTTGCTTAAACATTCAAATTGTATAATATAATAACTCTATATAAATTTGCACTGCTACTTTTCCTTTTCTTTTATAACTTGGTTATTACCTACTATGTAATTATTTTAAAAATAAGCTTTTATATATGTATTGTATATTTTATATTTTAATATTAGAATAGCTACGTAGGACAGAATAATATTAATTAATAATATACGTTAGTAAACTGTATTTAGTATATAGTGTTAACCAGCTTAGTTGTTAGCTAATATCACACTTTTGAACAATAAAATATGTAGAAATATGTTGCATATTTTTACATATTTTATTATTATAAAGTGTGATATTAGTTAATAATCGGAGAAATTCAAATGCAAATTAATTTGTCCTTAACATAGCAAGTAGATTTTGTTGCAAAATTTTTATGATCATAATCTTTAAATAGTGAGTAATTTTATAAGAATTTTTCCAGTAGCCTATGGTAGAATCACAATAATTCTAATATATACAGCTATTAGAAATTAAATACAAATTAACTTATGTAACAATATAAATAATAAGGACGGCAAATTGAAAATCAATGCTGAAGAAAAATCAACACTGAAGAAAAATCAGTGCTGAATAAAAATAGACACGAAGAAAAATAGAAGCAAAGAAAAATAGAAGCAAAGAAAAATCGACACAAAGGAAAATTGATGCAGAAGAAAAATAGGAAAGAGGCCTTTTTTTTTTGTTTTTTTTTTTTTCTTTCTTTCTTTTTTTATTTTTTTAATCTGCTTTTTTGAATATATATATATATATTATATATAATTCAAATAGGATAAAATGCACATGATATGTTCTACAATAACTAATCAAATGCAACTCTAATCTATATTATGTTGGGTAAATAAACTTTCAATAAAGCAACACAAATTGAAAATTGATTATAGCAACATTTATTAATCGAAGTATTTAAGATAAGCAATTAAACTCATTTTTATTTATTCTGACTTAAGTACTATATGAGCATAATTTATTGACCTAAGTTAATAATTTGTTTAATTTTTTATTGGTATTATTTAATTTGTATATATTATTTTACTAAAATTTAAATCAACTTCATATCTCCATTAGTGGTGATATTACCTTTCATGATAACCATTTTTTGAAAGAGATTATGATTTTTCAGGATTATGGACCCACCCAATAGCCACCAAGATTATATTGTATGTAATCGGTTTTTAAATTATTTGCCAACATTAGATTAATAGTAATACATGTAATAATAAGAATATTGATATATGCACTCTTCAAGTTGTTTTGTAGTATATTTCTACTATGTAAATTTGATGAATAAGATTATGAGAATGAATTTGCAAAAGGTATGATGCAATACATTGTAGCATTCCAATCCATTTGTGCTATAGCTTATAGTTCTTGCGCAAACTACCTTTTGAAGCATATTCTATAACAAGTATATAATCTTTAGAAACTTTATCTTTTGATACACTAAAATATTTTAAAAAAGTTAGATCTTTAAGACTGATATCACAATATGCTTTTAACTTATTATTAAAGGGAATATATATTTGAATTGTTAATTTTAATGATAAATTATGAATAGTGTAAATAATATAAATAATTAATAAAGATCACCTCACTTATAAATTCTTTATGATAATCATTTGATTCATGAAGCAGTTTAAGTGCCACAGGTCTATTTAACGTGTTTTTTTTCTCCTAGACTGATCTTGGTTTTTCCTTTCAATTTTACTTCTCTCTTCTTCCGAATTTCATAAGTCTCAGCCAGTTTCAATATTAATGGTAGCAAATCCACCCGGATAACGTTGAAAAAGATTTTTGAGAATTTTGCAGATCTGGTTAAAACTACAAAAAAACTACCAGATTTCTTACTAAATCAGGATGCATATGTATACTTTTACCAATCCAACTACATAATATACAGTTGCACATACACAATTACCTATCTCTTTAATGTCAAGTTCATCATAAGAAATCCATGATAACTGATATTTATTTTCCATCAATGTTTTTATCAAAATATTATTGATTTCAGAATTATGCATCCATTTATTTGTAGCTATTTTTTATTTATAAAATTTTTTCAACTTTAGATTATAAATAAATTAATAGCAATATATATAATTTATAATAAATTTATTATGATAATACCTGATATTA